AACTGGGTCAGGAAGGTTGGGGTGGGTTGTGCTGAAGCCAATGGGGCTTGCGGACACTCGGCTGCTCGGGAAATTGTTCTCAACTGGAGTGGAGAAGCAGGGAGGTCTCCGTTCATCATAACCACGAGCTTTGCAGGATGAAAACCGAGCTGCAACCTCTCTGCAGCCAGGGCCTTCATCGCCCTCGCAGCCACACTCTTCCTCCCTCCTCGCTGGCCTCCAATTTGGGGGATTAACGGGCAAAGCAGCAAACAAGGCCAGGACGTCACCCGCACCGACTTGGCACTGCTTGTGTGTCCTGTGCCGGGCACCTCCGCGCAGCGCCGGGAGGAAACCACGGCTTTCCTGTGCCCTGAGCAGCGCCGAGATTTTAAAGCGTTTCCGTTCCCAAACTGGGCTGCAAAGCAGAAAGTTTGGGAAAGTTTGGGAACACACAAGCCAAGGTGGCTTTGCCTGTGGATTGGTGGTAGAGGGGAGTTTCTCCAGGCACCCTTGGAACCTTCCTCTGGAGCTCGACCTTTTCCCTTCATCCAGTCTTTAAAACATAAGGCAAGTCACACAGCCTGGAGCTAAAAAACCTGGAAACTTTATTTTTCCTCAGCACTATTTTTTTTTCCGGCAGTCAGGAAATGTTTGGGAACCATTTCCCACAGACAGGTTTGGTTTGCAGAAACCCCCACTTTATTTATTTATTTATTGGTGGAAAAGCAAAAATTCCAAAGAAACCTCCCGAGCGGCAGCCTTGCAAGTGCGTGGTCACCGGGATGGGAGGAGGAGGAGGAGAAGGTCGTCCTCGCCGCGCAGCGTGGTTGGAGCGCGCGCGGATGCTCGGCCGAGGTGCCGGAGGCTCCCGGGCCCCTTCCCGGCCCACCGGGGAGTTTTCCCCCTCGCGCCGCTCCGTCCCCGGCCCGGGCCACCTGGCACATGCTGTTTTAATATTTGGGTGATGTCATCGAGTGCTCTGTAGTGCCATAAAAAAGCAGAACATCTATAAACCTGGCCAGGGAGCCTCCTGCAGAACACACACGCGCACGGGCGGGCGCGCGGACACGCACGCGTGCGGGTGTGCGTGCGCACGGGGACACTGCCACACGTGTGCGACATGCGCGGATATCACGCACAGCTGCACGCGCAGATACGCACTGGGACATCCGTGCGCATGGATCCATGCATATGGATGCAGATACGCAGGGATGCGCTCGCCCAGGTATAGAGGAGAATGGATGCACACACATGCACACGCAAACGCCCCCATGCACGTGTGCAATGCATGCATCCCTCCGGTATGCAACGATGCACGTGCACATGCGCTGGCACACTGCATGCAGCAATGCAGCCGTGCACAGACGCACGCACACACAGCTGCAGAGTGAGGCACACCTGCACACGGCTGCATGCACAAGTGCACGCACACGGATGTGCACATGCGGCTGCGCGCCTCGCTGCAGGCACAGGGCTGATGCCACCAACTCTGCAAGCCAAGGAAGTCCCCCATGTGTCCCCCCTCCTCCCGGAGCCCTGCGCGCAGCCCCAGGCTGTCAGCTTTTAAATATACCTGTCAAATTCCTCCTGCACATTTGGGCAGTAACGACCTGCTAAGAGCCCCTGGCTGCTCCTGCTGGGAAGAGCCCATCAGGCCCCGAGCTGTGCAGAGATTAAGTCATAAAATCAGAAGGGCTGCGTGGAAACAGCCCCAGCCTGAGCCGTAATGGCAGTGAAATCATCCCCAAACTATTCCAACATGGCCCATTCCCATTTCCAGTTCACACCTGAGCTTGGTCGGGGCGCTCGGGGCTCCTTTCCTGCACCCCGCGCGCTGCCCGCACGGGATGCCCGATCCAGACACCCGCTCTGGACACGCTCCCTAATAATCAAGCAAATGCAGCCGAATATCCCGTGTAAATTCAGCTGGGAATTAAAGGTTTAGCTGCAGCTCTTGCAATGCAGCTGAGCTTGACAACAAACCCCGTGGAGGAGCTGCCTTTTCTTGCGATGACTAAAACTGCAAGGGCAAGTTTGGGGGAATATAACTCATTTTCGGCGATGCCAGGAGCCGCGGGACCAAGCGCAGCCGCTGTGCGGATGCAAAGCGCTGCAGCAGGCGCTGGCGCTGCAGGTTTTGGCCATGAGCCTGGCTGGGGCTCTTCTCCCAATGGTTTTTCACCCTCAACCTGTGCCCGTGTTTTCTTCCTCTCTCTTTTTCCTTTCTTGCTTGTGCCCCTACCGGCTGTGACCTGGCGGAGGGGCAGATGGGGTGGTTTGTGTCCTCGACTGCAGTTACACTTTCTGATTAAATAAATCGTGGCAGACAGGGACCCGCTTTGCCAGAGAGCCAAAATCCCAAGCGAGGCCCCATCTGCCCGCTCCGGGGCCACATTCCCGTCCCCTTCATGTGGCTCTGGTGCCTCTGCAAGGAGAGCAGCCGTGCCGGGGTGCGTCACCGGAATGACGAAGCCCCAAAATGCTCAAAGAAGAGCAGCTAAAAGCAGCCAAAACCTCCCCGTCCTCAGAGAGCCAGCGAGCCCAGGGACCAAACCCAGGGGGAGAGGGGACTTTCTGCCGCAGCAGGATGACTTCACGCTTCCTGCACGGCCGCATCCGCTTTTCCCGGCGGGGCCCCGGTGCGAGCGGCTGGGAGCGGGATGCGTAATCCCGGGAAGCGCGTGCCCGCCGGAGCCACCATCACGGAGAAGGGACTGGAGCCCAGGCCGGGCCTTTCTGCTCCCCGGCTCCACTCGCTCCCAGTCGGAGACTCCTTCCTCGCAAGGCATCATCCGTGCCGGGATGCGGCTCCTTGCGTCGCTCGCCCGGCGGGGCCCCGGTGCGAGCGGCTGGGAGCGGGATGCGTAATCCCGGGAAGCGCGTGCCCGCCGGAGCCACCATCACGGAGAAGGGACTGGAGCCCAGGCCGGGCCTTTCTGCTCCCCGGCTCCACTCGCTCCCAGTCGGAGACTCCTTCCTCGCAAGGCATCATCCGTGCCGGGATGCGGCTCCTTGCGTCGCTCGCTGCAAGCTCCGCTGCTGGCAGCCGCCGGACGCACCGCGCGCGGCCCCGCGCCAGCCCTCCCGTGTAGGTAGTGAGGTCATTTTTCCATGTATTCCCCCTTTTCGCAGGCTGTATATGGAAGCGCGGCGCTGCCGGCAGCGGGCGGCCGGCGGCGGGGGCCGCCAGCGCCGGCCCCCAAACGGCTCCGGTTTTATTAGCGCTCCGCAGAGAGGGAAAAAAAAAAAAAAAGTGAGTCAGGATTGAGTCCTGTTAACACTAATGTGAATTTAATTTAGGAGAAGCTCGAAAATTAATGTCATTTGTTAAATATCCATTTCCCCTAAAAGGCAATTCTTTGCCAACAACAACAACAAAAAAGCTCTTCTTCTATTCATTTTTTTTAAGAGCCTTTTTTGGCTATATCAGCCTGGTTTAAATCACTCATCATTCAAGGAACGGATGCCGCTAGGTCTTTATGCAACAGATACTGTCATTCCCCCTTTTTAAGCGCGCTGGTTTGCGAGCGCTGCGCCCGGCTTGAAGGTGCCACTCTGCAAATACTGCGACCAGGTTCAAGGCGCTGCCGTGCGAGCCCCGCGCGCGGGTTCAACGCGCTGGTTTGCAAACCCCGCGCTCGGCTTCAGGGGGCTCGTTTGCAAATCCAGCGTGCAGCCCAAAGACACTGGTGTGTGGCCCTGCATTCAGCTGAAACCTGCTGGTTTGCAAAGCCTGGGGGAGCCGAAACCCGCTGGTTTGCGACCCTGCGCTGGGCGTAAATGCAACCCCCTTTGCTGGTTTGCAAATCCCGCGTTCGGGAACGTTCCTGCAAGGAAGCGGGACGATGCCGGCAGGATGGACACGCACAGGAGCGAATGGGGCGGTGATCAGGCAGCCCCGCGTAGGGAACACAGGGATTTGGTCCCCCTGGCAGCTCGGGCATCCCCCATCCCACCCAGCACCTCTTTCTGGTGATTTTCCCAGGAAAACTGGCAGTTTGCAGGAACAGACCTCCCACCCAGCCCCTTCCAAACCATGGGGAGAGGAGGGACCTCCTGGTTTAATCGAGGGCTTTTCTCCGCCGGCAGCTCCGGAGCCGCCGGACGCGGAGGGCTCGTGCGGCCCATGCCGACAGCGGCCTCCAAATTAATCCGTTTACCAGGTTGTCAGAGCATTAATCAACGGATACGGCAATCTGGAAACGGTTGGGGACAACATGTATTTGCGGAAAATATGTGTTCGCACAACAAGCACACAAGATGGCAACAATTATATGAAGATGTTTTAATAATTAACCAGTATAAAACAGTTTGCTCTCCATACAGTTCGAGACGATAGAAGTGTTTGCAGTCATATTTTTCTTTTGTACAAAATTCCAGTCAATTGTTCCATAATATTTACATTGCAATTCTCTTTTCACAAAATATCTCTTTTTTGTTCTTATTTTGTTCTTTTTTATTTTGCTTTTTGGTTTTTTTTGTGTTTTTTTTTTTAATCCAGCTTTGCTACATAAATGCTTTAGATCTCATGGATATCCCTTGATTTATTTTTAAAAAGTCTAATTAAAAAAAAAAACAAAGACATTAAATATCATTTTTATATATAAAAAAATGCTTAGTAAAAATATAGTTTTGTTGCCCAAATTAAAATATATTGCTGATAATACAGTAAAAACTGTCCTAAAGACCCCCGCTAACAGGCACCGAATCGCTCCCCGTCCCTGCAAAGCGCTCCGGAAGCGTCCCCCGCGCCGCGGCTGCCCGGCGCTGCTCTGGCTTGTCCTCTTCAACGCTGCTTTTTGGGCAGCAATCGCTGTAATTTGCCTTAAAAATAAATCCCCTCCGTGTTCCCGAGGTGGTTGAGCAGCCTCACCGGGAGCTGCAGCTCAGCCCCGCGGCGGGGAGCCCTGCGCGGGGCACGGGGCGCAGGCTGGGTGTGATATATAGATATACGGTGTATCAGTGACTTCAGCTGGGAGGGTTTTCTTAAGAAGAAAAAACAAAAAAAAAGGAAGAAAAAGCGATGCATTTAATGAGATACTCTAAATATTATGGAGCTCTTGGTTAAGGGCGGGCGGCTCCGGCCGCTCGGCAGCGCGGCGGAGCTAGCCGGTGATGCAGGGGCTGTAGTACACAGCGCTGCTGGCATCGGACAGGGCGGATATCAAGCTGCTCTCCTCGCAGGAGATGCTCCTAGGAGTCACTTTGGACAGGGACACATGGTAAGGGAGCGCCGAGCTCTCCGGCCGAGTCCTGCTCATGTTCAAATACTGGTCAAACTCGTTGCGGTCGACGTCTGTCCAGAGCTCGCTTTGGTTCAAGTGGTCCACGCTCTCCAGGTGGTGGCCCTCGGGAGGCGGCGAGAGCTGGCCCAGGTGGGCCGAGAGGCCGCCCTGCGCCCCCGGGCACATCTGGTTGTAGTAAATGCTGGACGGGTGCGGAGTCCTCATGGCATCGGCCAAGTGCGAGGGGGTCTGCGCGTAGGGCACCGGCACGTCCCGCCCCAGGCACTTCTCCTGCGGAAACTCCAGCTGGTGGTGGTGGTGGTAGCCGCGAAAGGGCATCATGTTGCAGTCATCCTGCATGTGCGGAGGGAAAAACGCCGGCTCGGTCTGTTCCAAGACATCCAAGGGCGACATCTCGGGAGTTGGCAAGCCATAGTTTTCAATATCCGACCCCATGGAGTGGAGTTCTCTGAAGTGGTTAAGTGGGGGAGGCTGGGGGTGGCCCGGCTGGCTGCCGCCGTGGTGACTCATGCTGAAGTTGTCGCTGCAAGGCTGGGAAAGGTTATGGAGGAGGATATTGGGTTCCATCCTCTTGATTTTCTTGGCTTGCTTCTTTCTCCTTGGGCGGTACTTGTAGTTGGGGTGATCCTGGAGGTGCTGGATGCGCAGCCTCTCCGCCTCTTCCACGAAGGGCCGCTTGTCGCTGGCGCTCAGCGCTTTCCACGACTGGCCTGCGAGGGCAAAACGAAGCTCTGTGAAACCGCTCGGCTTCGCGGCGGGGACGCCCGGGCACGGGGCACTTGGGTCCTGGCCCGGGGGTGTCTTTCCCACATCCCACAGGCTGCATCCCCGGTGCCAAACACTGCGTCCTGTGCCCCCCCATCCTCGCTCCCTTATCTTGGCCCCCCGCAGCCGGGTATCCCTCTCCGTATCCCCCATCCTGCAGCCCTGCCTGCCCATATCCTGCTTCCCGTGTTCCCGCATCCTGCCGCCCTGGCTGCCCATATCCCGCTTCCCGTATTCCCACGTCCTGCATCCTACCGCCCCGTATCCCCCGGGTCTGGTATCTTGCAGCCTTGTATCCCTGTATCCCACATTCCGCAGCCTTGTATCCCTGTATCCCGCACCCCTGCAGCTCTGGACACCTCATCCTGCAGCCTGTATCTCTGCACTCCAGCTCCCCACAGCCCATATCCCTGCCTCCTGTGAACCTGCATTCCCGCATCCTGCAGCCTTGTAGACTCAGATCCTTACAACTCCAAATCCTTACAGCCCTGCTGCCCACAGCCCCTCATCCCCGCATCCCGCAGCCCCGTTCCTCACTGCCCGCATCCCACGGCTCTGTATCCTCGCTGCCTGCATCCCACAGCCCTCTCTGTCCTTATAGCCTGCATCCCGGAGCCCTGTGCCCTGGAATGTGGCTCCTGCAGCCCAGAATCCTTGTGTCCCAGATCCTGCCGCCCCTACATCCTGGCTCCCACAGCCTCTACCTTTGCATCTCAACTCCCGCAGCCCTGTGCCCGTGCATCCTGGCTCCCACAACCCTGTACACCAGCATCCCGGCTCCTGCAGCTCCATACTCCAGCATTTCTGCTCCTGCAACTCCATATCCCTGCTCCTGCAGCCCCACTCCTTTACATCCTGGCTCCCACAGTCCTGTATTCTGGCATCCCAACTCCCGCAGTCCCACTCCCTTTCACCCCATCCCTGCAGCCCCTCTGTCTTACACCCCATCCCCACGTCCCCGCGTCCCCGCACTCCATCCCCGCCACCCCTCTCCCTTGCAGCCTGGCTCCTGCAGCCCCACTCCCTTGAATCCCAGCTCCCACAGCCCCTCTCCCTCGCACCCCATCCCAGCAGCTCCTCTCCCTTGCACCCTGGCTCCTGTAGCCCCTCTCCCTTGCATCCCATTCCTGCCGCCTCTCTCCTTCACATCCCAGCCCTGCATTCCTG